GAGAGGTCGAGTGATGGTTGCGAAATCTTTCACAAACCTTCTAATATAGGAGCAAAGTCCTAAAAAACTCCGGACGTCTTTTGCTGACTGGGGTGCAGAAAAACTGGTGACTGCACGAATTTTCTCGGGGTCCGGCTGCACATCAGAAGCGTCGACAAGGTGGCCCAACACTGTAATTTGCCGTCGTCCGAAGTGGCACTTCGACGAGTTTACGTCGAAGTGCCACTTCGGACGACATCGTCAAGATAACAAAGACATGTTGACCATTTGAACATTTGTAGCAGAGAGTCCATCATGCGTTCAAACGTGGCTGGGGCGTTGCATAGCCCAAACGGCATAACCTTGAACTGATATATGCCGTCTTGAGTTACAAATGCAGTCTTCTCTTGGTCTTTTTCGTCTACAGCAATCTCCCAGTAGCCGGAACGTAGGTCTATTGTACAAAAGTATCGGGCGCCGTGGAGACAATCGAGAGTGTCATCGATGCGGGGTAAAGAGTAAACATCCTTTTTCGTGATTCTATTCAGATGACTGTAATCCATGTAGAAGCGCCACATGCCATCTTTCTTTTTAATGAGCACAACGGGGGACGCCCAAGAGCTCGAAGAGGGTTCAATAATTCCTTTGGCTAGTATCTTGGTGACTTCTTGTTGAATTACTTTACGCTCGGTGGCAGACACCCGGTATAGTCGCCGATGAATGGGATGAGAATCACCTGTGTTAATGCGGTGCTTGGCGAGTAAAGTCTGGCCGAGTGGACGGCTGTCTATGTCGAATATGTCGCGGTATGAAGCCGGAAGGCGGCAGAGCGCGGCTGACTTCTCATGGGTCGAGGTCCGGGGCGATCATGGAGCGTAAGGTTGCATCGAGGCACGTGGCATTCTGCAAGTGATGTGGATGCTCGGGACATACGTCTGCCGCAAAACAGGGGACGTGGTCGTCATTTAAGGGTCTTAGCGTGGTGACCGATATTCCTTGAGGTAGCACTTGTTTTATGAAACTAAAATAGATAACAGGTAAATATGTTCAGTTAGAGGCCACGGTCACGCCAGAGTGTGGGACATTAATGTCACTCGCCAAAAGAACATCAGTAATCGGCGCCACGATATAATTACCGTCGGGCACGGAAAAGGGTGTTGCCAATTAAACGAATGTGAGAGCTTTAGGTAGTATCCGGAAGAAGTCAGTGGTGCACAGGCTGTTCGTGAGTTCAGAATGAGAATTCGGGAGAAGAGGAAGTTCTAGGCAGAGAGTACCGGCGGCCCAATCTATCAGGGCAGAATGTGTCGATAGGAAGTCTATGCCGTAGATTAGGTCGTGAGGGAAATTTTCAAGCACCGTGAATAAAACGGGACATGGCGGCCGGCAATACTAACATGAGCGGTACACATTCCAGAGATGGCCACAGTTCCACCATCAGCGACACGGAGGGCTTTAGTTGCTGCAGGCGTGAGGACTTTTTTGAGCAGGCGACACAAATGAGCACTCATTATGGACACTTGAGATCGGGTATCAACTAACGCCGTGAAAGAAATACCGTCCACATATACCTCAATCAAGTTCTTATTAGTGGGGAGCGTCAGCGGAGGATTTGGATCAGTCACAAGGGATGCAGCACTACCTCCAGGAGCTGCATAATCTAGTTTTCTGTCCGAGAGGATCCATAGTTGAACGGCGACAGATAGGGGCGTAGTTGGGGCGCTGGGGAACGCCGGCGTTGAAGTGACGGCGAACGAGCGGTGGAGCGGCTGTTGGGGACGTCAGAAGAAGGGTACACACGACTGGGCGAATATCGACGGGAGTCCTCGTATGGGCGAGAAGAGGAAAATGAGCTCCAGTTCGAGGGGGTCCAAGTGCTGCGGCAGTAGCGGGAGATATGGCCAACTCAGTGGCAGCGGAAACCGATCGGTTTGTCGTCTGCAGTTCTCCATTCCACCGGATTGCGGGATCGTGGAAGAAAATGTGAGTCATGGCGTGGTGCATTTGTTGTCATTGGTCTCGAAACGGGTAGGGAGACAGAGCAGGCCACAGGAATACCGTATATACTGGCATAATGATCGCACTTTAAAAAAAAAAAAAAAAATGACTCCAACTTCAAGATGCGATCATTGCGCAGGGTAAATTTTCCGTGAAAAATTATTCTGAGCACCGGAAACGCAAAAAAGTCGCTAATCAGAATTCTTACGGTAGCTATCATGAACATAACAAAAAATAAATGTAAATTAAGGCTTACCTTCGTAATAAAATGCACACATTACGCAGGAGCCACATGCATGGAACACTGCCCTTGTATTTTTTACCTCTCTGACCCCCTAACGTTCATTCAAACTCCGAAGCATCACTGGCGTCAGTGTCGTCGCCGCTCGATTCCCTGTCGAAACCGGCAGTGTCTTCACTGTCCCACAGAGGGTCATCTTCCGTTCCGTCGAGCGCGTTGGAAATGCCAGCGACAGTCCATTCCGTCGCATGAAGCGTGTCGTTCAGCTGGAACTGGCGTGGAAGTCCTTTGTGGCTATTCCCAGCCTCCGGGAAACTGTGCACGCCTGTGTCCGTATCATGTCTAATAACACTGCATAACCGTCCTTGCGCATGTCCTTCACGTATTCGAGGACTGCCTTTTCGATGTCAGGGAACTTGCCAGATTTGGGTCCGCAGAAAGCCCATCGCGTGCTGTTAGTAGCCATGAGCATGTTGCGCTGTTTTTTCCAATATCGGATCCGGATTTTGTCGACGCAAAATGTCTGCCGGCAGCGTGGTTGTCGTGCTCTAGCGCGTAGTCAAGCACCTTCAGCTTGCACAGTAAAGCTCGCATACGGCAGTAAAGCTCGCATACCGCCCCATGGTGAAACGGAGCTTCAACAGACTGATCACAAAGCAAAAAAAAAAAAAAAAAAAAAAAAAAAACGTGGTCTGAGGAAAAAAACATTGCTGCGGGGTGAACACAGGTCGACCAACAGGCGGCCGCCGCTGTAACAGTGCTGAATGTCTGAACAAACATGACGACTGATAAAGCGAAGAACTGCGTGGAGCGAAGCGACCGTATTTTTCTTCCTTCTTTGCGTCAGTTATGAAGGTTGTGAGTACGTCACGCACGTCAGAACAGTTTCTTCTATCTAAATAAGGAATGCTTTCACTTAAATCAGTAAATTTACAGCAGTAGCATAGTGATGCCTGCTTTCAGATCACAGAAACAATGATAGGCACGTTCAGCTGGACTTGGCACATGACATGTCGATGCGGCAAGTTTAGGGTGCGATCATTACGCGGGGGGAAAAAAAAGTCTAACTTAGACGACAAAATTTAGGGGTGCGATCATTACGCGAGTAAATACGGTACCGAGCTTTGCAATTTCCTGCCTCACTTTTTCCTGCTTGAATTATGGAGACCGCCGGAGGCGTTTGTGCGGCGCCATGGTCAAGCGGATGTGGAGGGAATGATGCGGGACTTGACGCCTCAAGCTCTCATCAAACTATTCGTGTCACGTCCTGCATGGGTGGTGCGGCACTGAGATCGGTGCAGGTGGATGTAACAGCCGTGTTTGGTAGGCGTGTAAATTGAGGCAGAACACGGCGGCTTTTCGCCATTTCGAAGCGGCGGCATTCCTTGATAATCATATCTACGGTCATGACGTTGGTGTAGACGAGCAAGTTGAAGGCGTCGTATGCGATGCCCTTGAGTATGTGGCCCGCCTTGTCACTTTCTGTCATTTGCTCGTCCACTTTTCAGCACAACGCGAGCACGTCCTGTATGTACGAGACATACGACTCAGTTGGGGACTGCAGACGAGTGGCGAGTTCTTTTCCCGCCTCCATTTGGCGACCGGACGGGTCGCCGAAGATGTCACGTAGTCTTTCCTCGAAGGTATCCCAGCTGGTGAGCTCGGTCTCAAGGGCGTCGAACCAGACCCGTGGGGTGCTGTCTAAGTAAAATATTACATTGGCAAGCATCATGGTAGGGTCCCATCGGTGTGTCTGGCTAACACGCTCGTACATACGGAGCCAGTAGTCAACGTCAAGCCCTGGTTGTGTGGAGAATGTATTGGGATCACGGGGGGTGGGCATCGTCAGGTGCGTAGTGGCTGGAGCTACAGATGGAGACGCTGATGGGTTGTTGTCATTGGTAGCCATGGCCGGTGACTGAACGATGCGGCCACTGCGAAGCTTCGTGGCGAGGACGGGGAACGTTCCACCTCCACCAAATATGTTCCGGAAAAGGAGAGACGCCGTATCAACGAGGCTGGGGATGAGATGTATTCAAAACCAGCGGTAATGGCGTGACCAGTTCACCAGCGATCGAGAGGAGACAACCCTTCGTCTTCCTCGTCAGACACACATGCGCGTCGCCCTCTAGAATATCAATATATATGCATGTAGCGGTATGAATCAGTTTTGTCAGACTTTCCAAATTTGTGAGGTGCATATTTGAAACCGTGCGGCAACAAAATTCTGGGGCAATTGACTTTTTTGCAAGTGCTGGGACTTGACTGTACTCGACCCACCAGCTGTTGCAAATGAAGTAACCCTCAAAGCTAAGAAAAAGGGTTCTCAATACTGCCTCACACAACAGCGAACATGCCTAATTTTTGAAGCAGGCACACATCTTGCTAAATACTTCACCATTCAAGCAAGTATGAATAATAATTTGAAAATATGCAACTGATTTCAAGATAGAAACTGCAGATACAAGATATCTCTTATTAGATGTTGAATTTGGGCTCATATTTATGATGTGAGTAGGACGCCCTAAGTTTGAAACTACACAGCAGATGTTAAATGGGTGACTTACTCTTAGTAGCACAACTGAAAAAGAAACAGATGTTATTCGAATGAAAACAAATTGAAATCTATCCATGTGTAATTGAGAAGCAGCAAAATTTTGCATCGCAACTGCTTACTTGAGGCTCATTTTTCAGCAAGGTCACAATTTCCCTACAGCTGGCCTCTAAATAAAGCAGCTGAGCACACGCACCATCATGCACCGAGGAGAACGGAGAAAGGCACCTTGGGTGTCTGAAGAATGACACCAAATGCTGAAAAGGTGTCGTAGAGGAGCTTTTCGTCCACTTCTGGGTCCAGGTTGCCAATGAAGATGTTCGCACCAACGTCCAGGTTCTTCTGGTGTGCTGACGCCTGAAAGAAATTTATGGCCCAAAGTTAGCACACCCGTCATTAGGCAAACTGCACCTCATTCTAGCAGCATTTACAGCAATGCACATGTGCAATATTATTGCTTACATCAACTTCTCCAAATGCTATGCATTCAAATTGTGTCCTACATCCTGAACTCTACAGAATTTTTCCTCTAACCCTGTCACGACCCTCAATGAGTAGAGTCACCGTGAGATTTTCTAACAACATGACCGAGGACGATCATATTCAACCAAAACTGGTCCCGCACAAAAGCAATGACAAAGATACTCATCATACTTGTGTTTCTTGATGCTAGGTGACCACACTTGTCCATGTTAGAACATCTGTGTCTTGGCTTTCACTTCATGGGTATTTTTCATAGCATTGCCATGCAGTGAAGCCACCTTTGAGTTTCTTTTTTCTACTTGATTAGTGAAACAAAGGAACGCCACGGAATTGAAAGAATGGTACCATTTTATAGGGAAAAAAAGAGAGCTCTACAAATTGAAAGTAAAAAAAGCTGTTGCTGATCTTGGCACATTTCTCTTCTTCTCTTTCAGTCATGAAAAGGTTTAATGGGGGAAGTAATTTTTTGACATGACGTGTCAAGCTAATTAAGCTAGAATAATTATGTAGTTCTTTGGGCTGATTTTGTAACGAATGTAGCAGCCTCACAATAAGGATGTTTTATTTACACGGTTTATTAAGAGCCAACTTGTGCCCAAAGTGAACGACGCACTGCAATCAAGAAGATCCGAAGGTTGGTAGTCCTCGTGAGCCTCTGCCTCGAGCACCCTCGTTCTCTTTTTCCTCACGCGCGTAGGCTGTTCGGTGGAGTACTGCGTGCATGCAGGGCCGGCTCGTGCATTGCGGCTGGCTTCGTCGCTCGTAGTCGTGCCGTTAGCGTTTCTTTGGGTCCCGACGTCCGCGTTGCGCGGAGCAATGGTAATTTCCTGTGGCATTATCCCCCCTCTCAAGAGGCATTGGCCCGATGCTTTCGATGATAATGTATGCAGCGTTTCCGTCTCGGAAGGTTTGTAAGAGTGAAATGGTTGTACAGCAAGCAAGTGGGGTGGCTAGTCTTCGTATCGGTCGTAGTACGGTTTCATGCGCACAATGTGTACACGCTCGGTGGGGTTGCGTCGTTTGGAATGCCCATGTCCTGTAGGCTTGACTTCATAAACGAGGTCACTGAGTCGCTGTATCTCGTAAGGACCGAAATATCGACAAATGAGTTTTTCAGACAGGCCTCGCCGTCGTACTGGGGTCCATATCCCCACTTTGCCACCAACTTCATACCCTGTTTCACGTCTTCCTCAGTTGTAGCGGCCGGCATCGATTCATTGTTGGTGACATATTCGGTACCTTTCTAATTGGCGGGCCTCTTCCGCTCTCTCTATATAGTCATCGAGATCAGAAGGGTAGTCATCTTGATCAATAGGTAACACAGCGTCCAGTGTTGTGGTAACTACACGACCGTAAAGTAGTTGAAACGGGGTAATCTTGGTAGTCTCTTGTACGGCGGTGTTATAGGCGAAGGTGACGTATGGTAAAATTTCATCCCACTTTTTGTGTTCGACGTTTACATACATAGATATCATGTCAGCTAGAGTTCTGTTAAGGCATTCAGTCAGGTTGTTGCTTTGAGGATGATATGCGGTAGTTTTCCTGTGAACAGTGTGGGTCATGTTCAGCAGGCATTCCATGAGTTCTGCCGTGAAAGCCGGTCTGCGATCGGTGATTACAACAGTCGGAGCGCCATGCCGTAGCACTATGCGCTGTACAAGGAATTTGGCGACCTCAGCTACCGTTCCTCGATGCAAGGAGTCTGTTTCGGCATATCTCGTTAAATAATCAGTCACTACAACGATCCACTTATTGCCAAGTAAAGATGTCGGGAGTGGTCCAAGAAGGTCCATTCCAACTTGTTGGAAAGGTGCTTTCGGCGGGTCTATCGGGTGCAGAAGGCCCGCTGGCTTAGCACGAGGCGCTTCCCGTCTTTGGCACTTGCGGCATGTTCCAACATAGTGCTGTACTGAAGACAATAGCTTGGGCCAATAATAACGTAGACTGATTCGTGCAAGCGTTCGAGTGACCCCCAAATGTCCAGACGTAGGCTCATCGTGGCACGCTTGTAATACTTCTTGCCGCATAGTTGCGGGACGACAAGCAGAAACTTTTCACAGTTGGGCTTAAAGTTTGTCTTGTAGAGGACATTTCCTCGGAGACAGAACGATGCGAGGCTTCGAGAAAATATACGAGGTACTTGTACGTCAGCTCCTTTCAGGTGTTTGATGAGTGGGAGCAATTCTTCGTCCGCATGTTGAAATTCGGCTATCTGAGAAGTCTCGACAACAGCCATGAATGGCAAGTCCTCTTCATCTGATAGTGCTGTGTCTGCAGGTGCCCGGGACAAACAGTCGGCGTCGGTATGCTTCCTGCCAGATCGGTATACCACAGTTATGTCAAATTCTTGCAGTCTGAGGCTCCACCTTCCTAGTCGTCCGGCCAGGCCCTTGAGGTTGGCGAGCCAGCAAAGGGCATGGTGATCGCTGACTGCCTTGAATGGTCTATCATACAAGTAAGGCCGAAACTTACTGATGGCCCAGACGACGGCAAGGCATTCTTTCTATGTGGCCGAATAATTGGTCTCCGCCTTTGTTAGAGTCCGGCTGGCGTATGCTATCACCTTTTCTTCGCCATTCTGCCACTATATTAGGATGCATCCTAGGCCGATGTTAGTGGCGTCTGTGTGTATTTCCGTGTCAGCTGTTTCATCAAAATGAGAAAGGATTGGGGGCTCTTGCAACCGTATTTTTAATTCATTGAAGGCGCATTGTTGCTCGGTTTCCCACTGAAAAGGTACATCTTCTCTCGTAAGTTTCGTCAATGGTTCTGCAATCTGCGAGAAATTTCTGCTAAATCGTCTATAGTAAGCACAGAGACCTAGGAATCTCCGTACTGATTTTTTGTCTGCTGGCACAGGGAACCTTGCAACGGCCGCCGTCTTTTCGGGATCAGGGCGCACACCGTGGGCGTTGACAACGTGCCCATGGAATCGAAGCTCTTCGAAAACAAATTGGCACTTCTCTGGCTTGATGGTTAAATCTGCCAAACGGATTGCTTCTAACACTGTTCGCAGGCGCTTGATATGCTCCTCGAATGTAGCAGCGAAGATGACCACGTCATCAAGGTACACTAAGCAACACTGCCACTTCAATCCGGAAAGTACAGTGTCCGTCATGCGTTGGAACGTTGCCGGCGCACAACAGAGACCAAAAGGGAGAGCCTTGAATTCATAGAGTCCGTCCGGGGTAACAAAAGCAGTCTTCTCACGATCACATTCATCAACTTCCATCTGCCAGTATCCACTTTTCAGATCTAGTGATGAGAAGAACTTGGCACACCGAAGTCTGTCTAATGTGTCGTCAATACGCGGCAGGGGATATACATCCCGTTTAGTCACAGCATTTAGTTTTCGGTAGCCGACGCAAAACCTAATGCCACAGGAAATTACCACTGCTCCGCGCAACGCAGACGTCGGGACCCAGAGAAATGCTAACGCCACGACTACGAGCGACGAAGCCATCCGCAATGCATGAGCTGGCCCTGCATGCGCGCGGTACTCTACCGAACAGCCAACGCGCGTGAAGAAGAAGAGAACGAGGGTGCTCGAGACAGAGGCTCACAAGGACTACCAACCTTTGAATCTCCTTGATTGCTGTGCGTCGTTCACTTTGGGCACAAGTTCGCCCTTAATAAACTGTGTAAATAAAACATCCTTGATGTGAGGCTGCTACATTCGTTACATTTTCTGGTGGAGGTGCTGGGTGGATGATTTCAAACCCCGCAAGAGAGCGAAGTCCATGTGCAAGCCTTGGAGCTTACGCCGGTGCACCAACGGACCAGTCGCCGTATTCGAGGGGATTCACCAGAATTTGGACCACTTCCCCCTGTGCCAAGGGCATCAGCGACGGAGACAAGAAACACCACCACCATGACTAGCCAAGTTGCAACATCACTGCTCATTGTCAGCCAACCCGTCATACCGAAGGTTTTCCATGGTGACCCGTTCGAAGATGCTGAAGACTGGCTGGATAATTTCGAGAGGGTGGCGAACATAAACCACTGGAACGAAGCAGGCAAGTTGCGCAACGTGTACGTCTCTTTGGAAGATGAAGCGCGAGTGTGGTACGAAAACCACGATGCATCTTTGACGTCCTGGAAAGAATTCCGGCGGCAGCTACTGTGTACGTTTGGCAACAATGATCGCCGGGAAAAGGCAGAAGCAGCTCTTTGGGCACAGGATCAACGCACAAACGAGACTGTCGCTATGTGCATAGAAGACATGTCCCGTCTGTTCAAGCGAGCTGATCCCAACATGACTGAAGACAAGAAGGTGCGTCATCTCATGCATGGGGTAAAACAAGAGCTGTTCGCGGGACTCGTTCGCAATCTGCGGCGCACTGTTGCTGAGTTTCAGTCGGAAGCAACAACAATAGGAACGATGCACAGCAATCAAGAAGATCCGAAGGTCGGTAGTCCTCGTGAGCCTCTGCCTCGAGCACCCTCGTTCTCTTCTTCTTCACGCGCGTTGGCTGTTCGGTGGAGTATCACGCGCATGCAGGGCCGGCTCGTGCATTGCGGCTGGCTTCGTCACTAGTCGTGCCGTTAGCGTTTCTCTGGGTCCCGATGTCCGCGTTGCGCGGAGCAATGGTAATTTCCTGTGGCATTATGAAATATTATGAACCAAGTTTTTATGTAGACTATGCCATTAGAATGAATAATCAAGGCAAACATTATTTGATCACTTACTTATCAAACTTGGCTGCACAGATGTTGCAGAGTTCAATTTAAATGCCACCGGATTCCACACATGAAAGTGTACAACAATTGCAATCTTATGATACTAGCTTTCCTATGACTAAATCTTCAAAGCCTTGAAAAAAGGAAAAGAACTCCTCCCTGATGAAACATGATGAAAGTTCGTCTGGTCTGGCATTGGGTGAGACGAAACACGGCCACTGACCAAGACAGTGACCGTGTTTAATCTTCTCCGGCACTTTGTGAAACAGCTAAACAAGAGAAAAAATGATTAGAACTGAGTATGCTGAGTATGCTGAAAACTGAGCATGCTACATAATAAGAATACAAGGCTACAAAATTATAGGAAAAACAACAACCACAGCTCATGCAAGTTTGAAAGGGTTGAAAGTCAAGGCCCACATTTTGAAGAAACCCAAAATCTGACAAGATTTACTGCACCTGTACGTACTAAATGTCTAGGGTCGATCACATCTAAAGCGGTCAAATGCCACTGCTGAGACTTCAATAGCAGGGCTTTTAGAGTGATGCTAGTGTCAAGCCCTGCTTGCCTGAAGGGGAAAACATAAGTGCAGGAGTGCATAAGTGCAGGAGTAAACTCTGAAGAAAAAAAAAGCCCTAAAAGAAAAGTCACTATTTCACTGTAAAGGTGAAGCAATGAATGCATGTGCGAGCAAAAAAATGTAATGTTATACGAAGTGACGTTGGCAACTTTTTGATCCAATCTCATGCAACTCTACAAAATGCTGGTATAAGACAATATGGCTGCTGGAGAGACACTTTTGGCAGTCTCTTTGCGTTGAGAGAGCAGCATGTAGAAGGGTATGTGAGCTGGCTACTGATAATTACGAAGACAGCGAGAACGCATGCGCAGGCGAGAGCGACTAGGCACAAGAAATCAAGGTTCACAGTTGTGGCTCAAGCCCCCACTCCCTCCTTGCGTCTTTCCATACTCCTTAAAGACAAGCAAGGCACTTCCTTTCTGACTGAGCATCGATGGCCTGTCTAGCACGCATCCTGCCAGCAATTGAGCTGGGCCGCCTCGTTTGATCTTTGTTTCAGCCGCATTCGTCACCCCTGCTCGTGCACCCACGGGTAGAATGTACGATGCACTGGGGGATTTTATCAATTCCGGCTTTATACGGGACATGACGATGATGGAGTTAGCAAAAACTTGTTGAGACTGTCCTTCTAATTGCCATCGTGATAAAAAGCAAGACAATGAGGGTGGGTTGTGAAACAGGACGCAGCATAAGGTACCCTACAGGAAACACTGGTGCTAGTGTCTATGGGAACTGCAATGCATGGTGCTTCAGCCAGCATGGGAATGAGGGGTACAGTTGTCTAAAGCTTCTTCTTTCAGCTTCGTACGACTCTATCGTGCCAGGAGCCACTTTGTTGCAAGATGATGTTCAGCAAATGTTCAGCAGTTCCACTTCACCACCTCCTAGGCTCACCAATTAAAATTGGCTCATGAAGTTCACACAACCCATTCTTTTATCCAATATCCAAAACTGATGCCAAGACACAGCAATAGATAAAGCCACAAGTGCGTTCAACGCCAAGCACGAAGATTAAGCAAATACATGTACTACGCATCATTCCCCCGGTGGCTAGGTGTAGTGTTAGGTGTAGTTTGTCGCTTTAGAGAATATTTTGACTACTGACAACATAACATTCAAAAGCCTTCAATACATGGTTCAGTTGCATTCTCATGATCGCTATCTGTGACATCACGAAGTGTCGGGTGTGGTTTGTCGCTTTAGAAAATATTTTGACTACTAACAATCAAAATCATTCCATGCACAAGGTTCAGTTGCAATCTGATGATCGATATATGTGACTTCATAAAGTGCTGGGTGTGATTTGTGTGTTTAGAGAATATTTTGACTATAGAGAACGCCCAGAAGTCTTCCATACAGGATTCAGTTAGTACAGTACTATAACCAATATCTGTCACATCATGAAGTGTCAGGCACAGTTGTGTCAAAGCATATTTCGCCTACAAAAAAAATGCCCAGAAGCATTCTAGGCAGTTCCTAACTTATGACCAATATCTGATGCATCATTAAGAGCCAGGTGTGGTTTGATGCAGTAGAGGATATTTCTATCGCAGACAACATCCGAAAGCCCTTTACATAGGGCTCTTTTGTAGTCTTATGACCTAAATGTGACATATCATGAAGTTTTTGGAGTGATTATTAAGTTGATGATAGCTGTAAGTTATGAAGTATAAATGTACCGAATGTACCAGGATATTCAGAATATAATGAATTTGGTAATATAGGTATAGCAACCTGGTTATTGATGCCCCTTGGTTTTTATAAACCTGATTTATAAACATAATTAGGGGGTGACTGCCCCTTAGTCACCGAAGAGAGGGGGAGGGGCACAATGTCAGCTCCATAGATTATTATAATAGGAATAGGGGCGCTAAGGCAGCCCGTATATATTGACAATATAAGGGGGGATGCTGCGGCGATAATCCCCCCCCCCCCCCCCTTTAAGGAGAACCCTGCACATGCCTATGATAGACTCACAGTATCCTAGACTTGAATTTTCTTTTGCACCAACTGATGCTGATTTCTGGTGCATATCACTGTAGTTACTTTGCTCACTGAGATGTCAATTACTTGTAAAATAGTCAAAACTGTGGCGGGTGAAGCACTATCAATATTTTAACGCGCTATCATATCTTCGGCATCGAATGAACCTTCTCCAGTTCAGAACGCGCCGTTCTGTGCTGAACTAGGACAGTTTTAAGCCAAAAGATCAAGCAACATTGTGCATTGGCCTTGGACGCATGGGCGTCAACGCGGTCAACGCGTGCCAGTAGTTGCGCGCCCTTTTCTTCCACAGGCGCGACTAGACGCTTTTGACGCGTAGGCGCATGCGTACGCGTGCCAGTGGTTAGCACTTAATAGACATGCTAACCTGCTTTGCAGGAGTGGAAGCGTATATTAAGAGGAGATTTAATTCCAAAAAGTTTTGTGAATCAGTAGGCTAGGGCAATAATTTTTTTTTTTGCTGTATATGTAAGCTGTTATGCCGATTTTTAATATGTAATTATTTTTGTAGTAAGTTGCACAGTTTTCATTCTGTGCTAGGGCAATGTGTAAAATATAGTTCAAGCTTAAACTTTTTATGCCACTGCACATTTATGATTCTGAACCATCACTCATATTGCTGCTAATTAACTGTAGAATGCAAATAACTATCAAAAAGTGCATACAAGACATTTTGATGGGCAAGAAAAAATGTTATGTGTGAATTTTTAGCTAATGTGGTTGCTTGGACAAGTTGGTACGACATGAAGTTCACATCGGATGCGGAACCATCGTTAATGTTATCAGAGAAAGAAATGTTGTTTTTGAATTTGTCAATGCACTGAAAATTTCACGTGGCCAAGAATGTATATATGAAGAGCGAATTTTCAATAAAAAAAACCTAGTTGCTAGCTGGCGCCCTATCCTGTCTCCTCCTTTTCTTTTCTTGTCGGAGTTGCGCCACAAATGTTTTATTAAACGCGTAATAACGTTTGCTGCCGGGCTAGTTGGTGCATAGCTGAACTTGAATTGATAGCGCAAATGTTAGACTGGAGTGAAGAAGACACATAAGATGTGGAAAAGCACTCACTCGCAACTAAATGTTATTCTTCTATAGCTTCGTGTAAGAACCCTCAGGCACCTACGCTTCACTACAAAAAGCGAAATAACAATCTCTGAAAACACCCCTCGATCAAAACCAAGAAACTATACTCGTTCTCATGAAGATTGACAGAAGGAACGCAGACACAAAGGTCGCCAGCTTTCTGTGTGTACAGAGCCTCAGTCGATTCTCACGTCATCTAGTCTTTGCTCACCCCCCCCCCCCCCCCCCAAAGCATGTGTTGCCCAGCAGTGGTTCACACATGCAAGCCTTGCACGTGTGAACGAGTAGACGCACTGCATGCTCTGGAAATGCATACCTTGTTGACACGGATGGGCTTTCCGTACAGCTTGATCATGTTCATGATCTTGATGGCATAATCAGCGTCCTCCTCTCCAAGAAACTCCACGAAGCCATAACCCTGGTGGTGGCCAGTCACCCGGTCTTTGGGCATGTGCACATTTACTGCACACCACACAAATTCAAAAAGTTAATGCGGCATTCAACAGATTGGAAGGGCAACAGTATTTCATTATAAATTAGCACAAAGGAGTACCAGATGGCCAAAATTGAAGAGGTAGCACGCCTTGAATCAAGTGGCACGTTGTCATGTATATAGTGAGAGGACTTGGGGAGAAGGAATGAACCTTTGCTTTCTTGGTTTCTGCTAGCCACCTCGTTCCTTGTCTGAACATGGTGCCACAATGCTAACATGCTTGAAGATATGGCATCCACTCTTACTTTACCAAAGGTGTGCCCGCAGGCGCATCTGGTGAATGACCCCTTATTTAAAGAGCCCCTCACCACACCGCATTCAAAGACATGGGACTCATTTTCTCCTTACTGTCATGCAAGGGCTCCAGAAAGGGGGTGGCAGGGTGGGCTAGAGCACTTTTTGTCAGCAGAAGCAAGATGGCTCAGCTCCCTCTGCCAAACTGTATTGTGGATTTTTGTTCTTGGCAGGGCATAGTTTTCTTACGAAACAAGGGGAAACTATAGAGCTCCCTGCACCTGTGGAACCTCCCTTCCGACGTCATTCAAATCTTCTCACCAGGTGGGACTAATTTCATGTGCCCCGGCTCTGACTTCGGGAAGCTAGTCAGCTGAAAGTACTCCCACTTCGATGCCCTCAGGTCTCTAACCCACGAGTTCTCGGGACCTATTTCTCTCATGCCTGGGCTGCGAGACCAGCTGAGTGCTTTGAGCACTCATGCATTCTAAACGCACTGTACTGGCCCGTTTGTTTTTCTTCTTGCAGCGATAATTTTCTCCGACCCCCTCTCCCCCCCCTAGTGGCTCTTCCTGTGAACTGCACAATGCGCGTGAGGGCTCACGCTTTCGGACGGCAGACGAGAGTTCTTCTCACTATTTTTTTTTTCTATCTTTACTTCTCCTCTATCCTTCATTCTCCACCCTCCATCCCTGTGCTGATCTGTTGCCGTATCCTCATGAAGAGACAGCTACAGGTCGGCACTTTTCTTTTTCTTCGTTGCTTCCCTTCACAACTACTTAGAAACTAAGCCAGGTCAATGAGCCGCAGATTGCCCAGAAAGGGTCATTCGAAATGTAAATCTTCAACTTCCAATCGCTACATCCTCAAGCGGACGTTGACTTTTGAGGGGGGGTGCACTTTTGACTGTGTGCCTGTTTGTACTACAAAATTAGTGGGATCTCGGCCGCCGCGTGAATCGCTATCCCGACTTTGCGGATCACTTGTGAAATTATCGAAACAAGATGCATTGCATATCTGGAGGAGGGGTGTGTAAACATTGCTTCTATACAACTTGATGATAATGAGATAGCATAGCTACGCATGTGCAGTTGATGAACTCTCTTTCGGACAATAGTATAAAGCATGTACCAACAAGCTCAACTTAAGCATGTACCAACAAGCTCAACTTGCCAAGTTAAGTCTTTATTCGTCTCATTGAAAAATTTCCGTTGATATACAGATCGGCAGTCAAGTTTTTATTGTGTGCGGAAGTCCTTAAAAGAGCACTGACATCAAATTTCAAGATCGAGTTGTCCCCATCATTCGATCGCTTGGTATGCATGTCTTCTTGGCCGAATATGAATGACATCCATCGCGTGGAAGTTATTTTAATTCGATGTCAAACAGCGTAGAAAAGCTTAGGAGAAAAGCGGAAAATAGACTGTCCTGCGACATTGGCACTAGTGCTACGTGTTCGGTGTGATAGACTCTACAAATACCATCCTGAGTGACGATCCACTAGTAATAATGATGTCGACGATCTGAGTGTGTTTGGAGCCGACTTCCGGCCATGTTCTCACTAATAGCTCTCTTTGCTGTGTTGAAGCGTGCGTGCAATTCATCTTGTCGCATCGACTGATTTGACGTGTGCTCCACAGCGCAAGTACGATCATTAGAGTAACAATACGTGCCAGAATGTCGAGGAACCACTGCGCAGTGAGAACCTGCACGTTGAGGCGTGGAAAAAGTAGAAAGTGCGTAGCATTCATGCCTTTCTAAGCCACGAACCTCAACGCAGCCAGTGGGTTGGCTTCGTACGCGCCGATGTGGAAGAGGCACTGGACGCCTGTGCAGAACAGCCACATTTGCTCGCTCCACTTTGCGCCGAGCTGCTACAGGGTAAATCCTGTGTTGGCGAACCAGTTGGGTTTTACTGGCAGTACGAGGCCCCTCCTCAAGGTCGGGGCTAAAGGGAAAGGGAAAGACCGAGTTGGCGCTATTTAACCTAGCCGGCAAAAAACGCATGGAGGGGCTTTAGTCTACATCATCAGAGACACAGCTGAATTGACTGCACGTGTGCTCCTAGCATACAAAATGCCAGTGTGTGTGATGTCCCCATTTTTTGTGGAAGCAGCATCAGCTGTGCAGCGGTCTCGACGTCCCCACGAGGTAGCACTGGCAGCACTGCAATTTGACGGAATTTCGACCCATTTTGAACCACGTTCCATAGCAAATAGAATAATGAATCTTACAAATATTTATTCGTACCTCAGATGCGTTTTAGGTTGCAAATCGCTACTAGGGGGTCGATAGCTACTCGTTTACGCAAAAATCTTGACATGAGTAAATTTGATGTCAGGGCTCCTTGAACTAAATGCATGCTTCTATATATATGTTGAAGGGGAACACTTGCCTCAGAAAAATTGTCTAATGAACTGTATTTTTCTGTTATTCATAATGTTTATCTAGTGATTGAATCGATCATGTTTGGAGCTGTAAAGTCCAAGATTATTGAATAAACATCATTAGTATAAGAAGTTTTAATTTATGTCATTTTTTAAGGCAGGAAATGACGTCCGTAGTCATGTGACGCTAGAAATACTCTGGACAGGCACGCTGAATTAAGGTAGTACGTAATAAAAAAAATGATAAGGAACGGTACAAAAAACGGCCATTTTCATGAGGCGAAGTAGCCGATATGCATATATTTTATCGTACAGCTTTAGTCAAACCACTGTGGGACTGCCACGGTTCAACTACAGCTACAGAGACAATTTATCGTACGCACCACAAACAATGGGATTTTCGTTGTTATTTTATTGCTATGCATATGCATAAAGATGTTTTACTTATTTAGGAAATGCAAATGACCAGAGCCATTTACACCAAATTTATTATAAAAAGTTTGTCGAAAACTAAAAGTAAACATGGCCACGGTTGAGATGCCCATCCTAATGTTGTTAAATTTTCTCTGTTAAGTCGCACGAAAAGTATTAGAAGAAAAACTGATACCTGCGTGCACATTAGGCATGGTTCCAAACGTTTTCCCGAGACCAGCCAAAGATCAAGGCTTAGCGGGTATCACGAGCCCCCTGCGGCAAGAGACTTCCAGGGCCTCTGCTGTCACGAGGCTATTCAAATAAATGCATTCTTGAGTAGGTTTGTGTAAGTAAAAAAAAAAAAAAAAACTGATGCCATGACCGTCATGAAGCAAGGAGAGACGACACCATTTGTGCAGTGGAAAAAAAAAGCTCAATATGATTGTGCTTGAATTGACAGTAATGAAGTAACCACAATATCTAAACAGGTGTTGTGAGTAGTTGACTGCGTGACGCTCAACAGGAGGCGAAGTCTAAGTTCGGCATTGAGAAGCGCGACAAGTCACTAGTTTTCATGTCAAAGTTTATAGTGACTACCACCAGCACATCCTGTAGGCACACCGCATGGAAGTTGTACAGCAAGATGTGCATAATGCCTGTCCACAAGGTTCCTAGTGAGATTTATACTATTGTGAGGACGGAGCCTCATGCGATAATCTACCACACAACCGTCACCACAACTTATCTGGGGCAGCGAGTTGAGTTTGTCCGTCTAATGTGATAGTGGAAGTGTGCATTTCGATGGGAACCGAATTCGCAGACACGACACGAAGAGCAACTTCACGAGTACTTCTGGACTTGATGCGAACTATTCTTCCTATTGTCTCAGAGTGAAAGTAGAGCCAGAGGCACTTTGGAGTGCCCCTTTCATTGGCCAAGTCATTGCATACGTCAAAGTTTAGGGAAAGCATGTATGGCTAGTCCAAAGAAAATACATGCTTTGTTCAAGAATGTTTTTTTTGAGTCTATATACAGTAAGCCAGTGACAATTGGTGTATATACATAGCTCACCATTAGTGTGATGGACAGTATGAGCAGCGTGGCCTAGTTGGTTAATGCAGCACACTAAGGAGCGAGGGGTCACTGGTTTGAATCCCTGGTAGGTGCCTTGGACTTATTTTTCATAAAGCATGCAATAAACTAGCAGAGCTAGAGAACTGATTGATAAATGCTAACAGTGCACAAGTTCAGGAGAAACGAGATGAGCAATTGTTCAGTAGAAGCACTCGTGCAGACAGCCAGGGTTGATACGGCGAGCCGCTGCCAGGGTAGAAGTCAGGGTAGAGATTAAGGTCAGAGGGAAGGCAACCTTGGTGAGTTAAAGTCACCGACCTCTCAGCATTCATTGTCCAACGCTCGGACTCTGAACCAACACTAGACGATGAAAAGCCTGGCCAATGCTAGACAATGCGGAACACTCGGGTACATGCAAAGGTCGGAGCCTGCAGTGACCTTGTCACAGGTACTCAGCCATTACTTCTACTTGCGGGTAACCTTCTTGCTCCAGCTACGTTCCTGCCATGTTTTTTTTTTTGTTCTTTGGGAACTTGGGAACCTCACACTGGTGAAGTTCCTCGTACTTAAGCGGAGATTGGAAAAGGACCTTAAGCACAGATTGGAAAAGGTTGAGATGCAGGACCGAGAAGTAGCTGAAGTGCAGGCAGAAGTAGATAATCTTGAGTGGAGGAGCCACAGACTCAACCTAGAATTCCATGGAGTACAGGAAACGAAAGATGAAAACTTGCTAGAAGCGATCAATGCAATGGCAATCAAACACCAGTTCCCGCCACTCGCAGAAAGTGATGTGGTCGCCTTCCGCCCAGAAAAGATAAGACGCAGGTCGTTATCTGTCGTTTTGCGAAGCAAGCGGACCG